TTTTTGACCATCCTTATGGTAAAATTCTTTCCTTATACCATGTTCCCATTTGTGTCTGTTGCCTCATGTCATACTCACCTCTGCGAAGAACCTAGCTCTGCCTTCTCTTTATTCTGAGATCAAGTAGTTGCAGACAGCAGTAAGGTCTTCCTCTTATCTTGTCTAGGCTTAACAGACTCAGATCTCAGCCTCTCCCCATATGCCACATTCCCCAGCCATCTTGTCAGTCCTGTGCTGGACTTGCTTCAGTTTGTCAGCATTTTTGTTTTACTGAGGAATGCAGAACTGGACACCGCACTCCAGATGTGCTTTCACAAGTGCTAGATAGAGGAGAAAGATCACTTGCCTTGTTCAGCTGGTTTCACTGTTGCTTATGCAGGCCAGGATGTGGTTGGCTGTCTTTGCCACAAAGACACACTGCTGAGTCTTCTTGAATGAAGTTACTCCATTCTAAGTGCAGGAGTTTACATTTGCTTTTGATGAAGTCAGCCCATTTTTCTAGCCTTTGGAGGTTCCTCCAAATAGCAGACATGCCCTCCAGAGTGGGTTGGCAGATTCTCACCCCTAGTTTGATGTTGTCTGCAAACTTGCGGAAAGTGCACTCCATCAGATCATCCAGGCGGTGAGTAAAGATGGGAAGCAGTATTGGCCCCAGCGTCACTAGCTGAGGGATGCCTCTGGTGACTGACTGCCAGATGGCTTTGTACCACTGATTCTAGCCCTTTGAGCCCAGTAATTCCAGGCGATATTCGACCCACCTTATCATCCATCCTTATCTCCCCAATTTGGCTATAAGGATGCTATGGGAGGTTGTGTCAAAGGCTAAAATTAAGGTGAGCAACATCCAGTGCTCTCCCTTATCCACAGAGCCAGTCATGTCCTCACAGAAGGCAGTTGCGTTAGGTATGATTTACCCATGTTGTATCAATGATGGGTGTTCCAAATCACTTTCCTAACCTTCATTTGCTTGGAAGATTACTCTATGGGAGATTTGTTCCATAGTTTTCCCAGGCCTGATGTGAGGCTTGATGGCCTGTGGTTCCCCTGATTCCCCTTCTTGCATTTCTTGAGGATGGGTGAGACATTTGCCTTTTTCCAACCACTGGGAACTTCTTCAATCTTTTTCAAAGGTGATAGACCTGTGATAGACAGGTGATAGGCCTGTGTCCATCCATTGCAGCACACCAGTCAGGTGAGCTATCCTGCCATGTCTCCATAATCTCAGAGATGTTACAGCTTTCCACTGTGCATGGACTTAATCCTCCTGGTTGTACCATATGCTGTGCCTGAGAGGAGCCCCAGTGAGGCTGCTTTTACAAGGGTAACGCAAGAGCCTTCACCATCCTGTTGTGCCCCACCTGCTTCCTCATTGCCTCCATTCCTCCACTTCACAGCATGACAACCCTTCCTCAACACACCTAATTTAAAACTCTTCCCACTGTATTAACAAACCTGTTGGCAAAGACACTCTTGCCCCTGTTTGCCAGGGGAATGCCATCCCTGTGCAGCAGTCCTTGTTCTTCAAAAAGGGTTGTGTGGTCATAGAAGCTGGAGCCCTGCTTGCAGCACCAGTCACACAGCGTCATGTTGACTGTGGGATGCATCCAATCCCACTTGAGCAGTGAGCCCCCTCCCTGGGAGGATTGGGGAGGTACCGCCAGGGCCGCATCCCCCCTCACTGTTATATCAGGGCTGTCCGTCACCCATGATAAGCTCAAGGTCACTCTAGTGGTACCATTGGTGCCCACAGGGATGGGCACTCAGGGAACTTAATGTTTAGCATATGGCTATTTTTGGAAAAGTAGAAGAAGGAAAAAAAAAAAAAAAGGAAAACAGCTTAGCAAATAAAAATGTTAGCCAGTGCCTTTACTAAGTCTTGTTTTCGCGGAGCTTGTAAATGGAAGACAAAAGGAACCCACTGCAATGTGTACATTGTAGCCACTGCTGTCTTTGGTAGGAATCTTTCTTAGCAAAATGCAATTATTATAAGAATTATTATAAGAAGCCATGAAAACCTGCATGAGCAGGTTTTCAGCATTCTCAGCTCAGTCTGTTCAACAAGGGACAGGAAATGTGCCTGCCCAGCTTGTCATTGGCACCCACTAGCAGGTGTGGGAATCAACTGGTCAAACCAGGAAATGTTAGAATTCTCTCTCATCAAGAGCTGATGGCACAAAAACTAGTAGATGGAAAAGTGGTTGTTCTAAAGGTGTGGACACATGTAGAAACACAGCCATACAACAGCTGTTAGGCTGTGTGCTCTTGGGGAGGTCTTGGTCCTAGCTAAGGGCCGAGCCAAGGCTACAAATTGTGCAGTAGTGTATGCCCAGGGATGGAAAACCATGTATTTATGTTGGAAGGGCGTAATGGAATAAGAAAATACAGAACACTTTAAATAATAACATAAAAAGGGAAAGAAAGAAGTTGTAGGTCAGAAGCAGGAAAGAGTTGCTGCTTTAAGGTAGTTTTCAGGTAAATATTGATCAGATATTGCTAATGCTCGGTGGATCTTAGTGCTATAAAAGGCACTTGAAACATTCAACATTTCTCAGGATTATGCTGACTCACGATGTTGGGCTGTGGTCCTCCTGCAGTGTTGGACCCTCTGAGGTCAGTGGTAGGAGGACCGTGGTTTAGTTCAAAAGAGATGTTTCACATTCAGTGTTGATTTCTGCAGGTGGACCAAAGTGAGCGTTAGTAAGTATGGGTCACACTGGAAGCAGGGAAGATGGGAAATGTGTAATGAACATTGTGATGTGATAGCTGAGGGTCTTCATCTGCAGCCGCTCAACTGGCATCTTACACATATAGTTCATGACAGTGGTGCCCACCCAAGAACAAGGTTCGAAGATTTATACCTAAGACTGACTTTGCACTTCAAGAGCACTTGGAGTAAAAAGTGAAGCATGTTCTAAAGTCTTCTAAGGAACGTAGTTGAAACAAAATATTGTTAAATTTGTGTGCAAGAAGCAAAGAATACCCCTATTAGACAAAACCCCTAGGATTTAGAGGGTAAAGAGGGCTTGTAGAGACAAAGAGAGGGAAATAGGTTTAGCAAGTTGCCGCCTGGTGTGGAATGAAAGGAAAAAAACCTGAGCTGCAAACTCATCAAAAACACAGTTGTTAATTGAAAAGCTGACAGACCTGTAACTACAGCAGCGCTTCTGGCCGCCACTGTAATAAATGTAACTGTACATTTAGAGTAATTTGCTAATTTGCCTAAGTAACACCCACAGACAGCAACATGACATAAATACATTAGTGGAAGCAGCAACTATAACCAGCTCGTACAGGTTCTTGGCTGCTAGATGGATGGATCAGATGAGCTGGAAAAGATTTACAAAACAGAATAGAAATGGAATTATTAACAATATCGCGGCATGCAGGATTTCTTTATTTTCCTGTTTCCCAAGAATGCTTGAAGGCCTGTAGGTGCCCATACATACTGTAGCATTTAAGTAACATTTTGAACTTGTTTGTGTGTGATGTGCGCACACACAGAAAACTTGTGGAGATGGACTACACATCTGCAAAACGCTAAGCATTGCAGAAGCAAAAATGACAAAATTTACGTCTCAAGGAGTGTTTCAGGTAAATAATTGAATCGCCAACATTCAACATCTAATTATAAATATTTGAAAAGGGTTTCTGTTAATAAATGTCCTGAAGGCACATATGTATTGGGTCCACAGGAAAGACTGGAACCTGTACAATCAATTTTCATAAAACAGATGTTACAAGTGTCTGAAACCTGTGCTTTGGAGTTACCCAGATCTTTTCATTTGGCAAATAATGAGGCATGTGCACCTCCTCTAGGCTAGCACTGTTCTCTGTCTTCTGTTTCCGTAACTCAGAAGAACACTGTTGCATTTTATTCTTAAATCCTAATCATGCCAACTTTTGCCACTGCATATTGACTGGTGTTTTACATTCTCTAATTATCCTACTTGTAGTTTAGGCTTGGGGTCATCACTAAAGGTTTCTATATTATCAACAATACATTTTTAAAAGAGAAAATGACGAGATTGCTGCTATGCAAGGTGGGTCTCATTTTCAATAAAATGTTTCTTTCTGCTCCCAGTCTCCTGTTCTGACAGTCTTCATCTTGATGCAAATTCATGGTGCAGAAGCAAAGCTAATAAATGCAGCTTTACATAGATTCTGTCTTTGTTTCCTCTCAGATATACTGAAAAGGCTTCTGTTGAGCTTTATGAGACAGGCGATCCCTGCTCTCAAGGGCAGAATCCAGTTGATAACCAAATCTGGAGTCAGGTGGAAGGCTTCTGTTGTAGTGCTTCCTAAATACAGGTTTTAAAATAGTCTTGAACATGAGTCACTTTAAATTATAGTCCATGGATCTAAGGAAGTCACTGAGAAAATGGATCAGGAAAAAACCATGGGATAGAGGCAAGCTAGCTACGAGACTTCTCTGTGGGATGTGGAGTTTTGACAGCTAAACCAAATCCCTGTCTACCTTGAAGGCTTGATCTTAATGTCAGGGTAAAGAGAGCAGCAGACCGCCCTGGCTGACCCAAGTTCTGAGTCCGTAAGACCTCTTCAGCACAAGCTGACAAAGACCACAGCTCTGGGAGAAGAGAGCTGACGTTATTTTATGAAGCATTATGGCCAATCTTCTTTGAACCCTAATTTCTGTCAGAGAGTTATCATCACTGTCACAGTAAGTGATATTTGCAGCACAAATGGCAATTAACTAGAAGTAAATAGTAGAGCAGAAGTCTGCAGACTGTTTTTTAAGGTTGATGAATTGAAAGTAGTTTCAACACATTAATGCTAAGCATGCTAAGTCATAGTGTGCCCTGAAAAAGACAGCAATGTCATTTACCTGAAATCACCAGGAATTACAGTAACCCGTAGTGGGGATATGCTCGATTGTTTCAAATATGTGAGCATATTATAGAAATCATTAATAGTTTGTGAGTCTGTCTGTTTTATCAGATTGTCCATAAAACAAGTAATTTGTTTGTTTTTCACTGTTTTAGGTAGCCTGCCCTATGAGTACAAGATTGTGATAGCAGGAAATCATGAATTGACCTTTGACCAGGAATTCATGGCTGACTTAATCAAGCAGGACTTTTACTATTTCCCCTCAGTTTCTAAACTGAAGCCAGAGAGCTATGAAAATGTACAGTCTCTTCTAACAAACTGCATCTATCTTCAAGACTCTGAAGTGACGGTGAGGGGATTCAGAATATATGGCTCCCCTTGGTAAGCAGGTTTTCAAGCATACATATTGTTGATTGCTGTCACATCAGCTGTTTCGGATGCATGAGCTATATTTGGATTGCTGTGTTAGGAATAAAAGTAATACTCAGTTTGATAAAGTTTTTACATTTACTTGTAATGAATCATTCCTGTGATGATATAATGTACTGTGGGTATTGTCAACCAAAGAAGGATGGGAAAACGATAGTGTGCTCTTTAAACTCTGACGCCAGGAGCACTTCTCTGACATACTCCATGTAGCAGGTTTTCGTGTCGTAAAGTACATTTTCTATACTTAGTGAGTTTATATAATTACAGGTTAATTTTATTGCAAGGGTACATTCTTTTGACAATTTCCATCCTATGGATAATATTTAAGGTTCATTAGTGTATACAGTAGTCATTTAACGCAACAAGCTTGTTTCAGTATTTGTTTAGGCTTTTTTTTTTTTAATGTCCCTCTGAATCTTACTTTTTTTTCTGCAGTAATAGCCTTCCTCAAGGTATAGTTCAGCTTCTAAACTAAAGTCAGCAAATCACTGGCAACTTAGTATTTCATAGATTTTGCTCTACTGCATATAGTGAACACTTAGAAATCCTTAACAGTATCGGAGACAGACGGGCTTTGGCTTGCTGACCTCCACCTTGGACCTTGTATGTGCTGCTTCTGTGTCTCTTACGTTACATTACTACTATGTTATTTCCGCTTACAGAACTGTAAATTTGGTCTGTTATGAGCATTCAGTGTACATTTAAAATAAGTAAAAATTTATTTTAAAAGGTAGGTTTTTAAGGGAATGTGTTATTCTTTCTTTTAAAATCACATCAGGCTGGAATGTAGCAAACAAGTTGTCAAACCTGATGCATATACCCCAATGTGAATTTTCAGTGTGAATAAACTGTGAAATCTCTTGGATTTTTTTTTGTAATGAAAATTGGCATTTTCCCATTTGGTTACTTGAGATGGGTGTTAATTTTCTCTGAGCTTATTATTCTACATTTGTCTACATTAAATAGCTTCCCTCTTAAATGCACCCTTCTCTCTCTGCCTCTTAGATCTCCAGATCTTTCTGGGTTTATTTCAACCTACCCACCTGCTGTGTTGTAGTTCATCTTCCTCTTGCGTCTACTGTGTATTCAATCAATGTACAATTTACTTCATTTTCCAAATTATTAGGGAAGATATTAGATGGTATCAGTCCCAATATTAACTTCTGAGAAATGCCACTTGGCATCTCTTCCCATTTTGACGTTCAACTGTAAATACTGTAATTATGCTCTGTTTACAATATGTCTGGCAACTTCAAATCTTCATTGCAATATTCGTAACCAGGCACCATATTTGCAGTGTCAGTAATAATTTTCCAGGCAGTAAAGTACCAAAAGTCGTATTAAAGTCTAGATACATTTAATTAAAGCAAAACACTATCTATAAAGTAGCACTAAGTAGAGGCTACAGGAAACCATTTGAACTTTCTGTGTGTCATTAGATCTGTAAAAATCTGTACGCTTTTGTCCACCCACTACCCCATAAATAATGTTTCTGTGAAATCAGATCTGCCGCATTTCCTTTGTGCACTAATCCTGTCGTTTTGCAGAAGTTGTCTGAGCTATCTGGCGTGACCTATTCTTCGTGAAAGAAGATTGCTTTATGTCTTTCATGCATTATGTCTAAACTTCCACACTACATGTTCCATAGTGTTGCTAACTCGTCTCCCACCCCCTTATGGTCCTGGAAGATGAGTGTTGTAAGGTCCTTTGAAGATCTTTGCTTACTCCATATGGGAGAAAGTCTCGATGAAAGTCTTCCAGCCAAACTGCTTTTTTTGCTTGTCATTATGCAATGCTGAATGAAGTTTCCATGCTAATTGATGTCATGTCCAGTGGAAACAGCAACAATGACAGTAATAGCTATAGTGAGTCGCTCTTCATTAGTCTGTCAGAACAGCAGAAGTAAGAAAGTCACATCAGCCAGCCCACCAGACAGAAAACTTCGGAGGAGAAACAGCTGTTTTGTGTGGGTTAAACTAGCAGCCTGCTAGATTGAAGGCTGTAGCACAAGTGTGTGCCTACTGCTCACTACTGTTCTTTAGTGTTTCATTTTGTTTCTGTACTTCATTCACCCTGGAAAAAGAGGTTTGTCATAGTTTCTCTGGGAAATCGGTCTCAGTTTCTTTCTACATCATAATAATGTAATCTCTAAAAAACTACAGAACTTTGGAAAACATTTCCATGGTGAATCTTTTTTTGCCCTTTCATCATGAAGTCAGTCCTTTAGAAAATGATTATGAACCTACTCAGGACTTCAAAGTTTAGAGTTCTTGAAGATCTCAGAACTCAATAAGAAAGCTAAATTTCATGCAGTTGCTTGCTTAGTGTCCTAAAATAATTTTTTTTCCAGCCTTGAAAATATGCGTCTAACTTTCTGAATGGATTTGTTTAATTGGAGAACTCCCAATTACAGTTTAAGTTTGTTGTCCATACATGACTCTATTTAATGAGCAGGTGAGCCATCTAGAGACTAGAAGACATGGGCCCCAGACCCTGCCTTTCTGTTTCTGGTTACAGCCCTGATCTTCTGTTTTAACTTCACCCTTGGTAAAAATAAGTACAAGCCAGAGATATCGCTGCTTTATAAAACAGGTTAATCAATATTTGCAAAGTACTTTGAGAATGCTGGAGTAAGGTCTGAGTGAGTGCCAACCAGCATTAACTTAGTGTGTTTTACCTGCAGCCATCTGCGTTTTTATACATGACCTGTACACATTAGAGTGTACTTCTGCTTAAGATGTTTTAGTTGCAAAGTAAACCATGAGAGCTTGATTGGTTTGCATAACATGCCAGTCTCTAAGGCTTTCTAAATATGTACCATTTGTGTGTGGTTAAATATTTCCAACAGCACTTGAGTATTTTGACCTCTATTATTATCTAAAACTCAGTGGTCACTTTTAATTGCATAGAAGAAGTGGGACACTATTTTGTCTCAGAAACCAATGCTCTAACTCTCCTGGGCTCCAATGGCAAGATTTCAAGTGCCAAATGGAGCGTCTACTCACTAACAAAAATTTAACTGCCTTAAATGTTAATTATGCTACTATTATCATCAAGCAGGGAGCAGCCATTTTGAAATGCAAGCTGCAAAGCGCAAAAGCTGCTATTTAGGAATTAGTATTTGCAACACCGGTGTCTTGGACCACAGATTATCAGTATAGATGATGAGGTAGAAGAGTATAAAAACATTAGATGCTTCATGAGAAGCTTGGAATACCAAGATGTTAAATGTGTCGAGAGCAATCTTGACTTTTCAGGGTGGCTGTGTTTGGCCTAGGGGGCTGATGCTTTTGACAGTGCACCACATGGTGTTGGTTGTCAGATCTGGGTGAGCAGGGCATCAGTAAGAATGCAACGTGCTTTCTTCTAGCGTAGCCCAGATGTTGGGAACTGTTGGGTTTTTTTCCCATGTAAAGCCTGGACACTGTGATTTTTTTCGTAAAAAGCTAGGTACAGGAAGATGCACACTGGTTTCATCCCAGCAAAACCCAGGACGCAGCCAGAACATACTCACAGACCTGGAAGCAATCTTGTGTAGAGAACAGCTATAGTTGCTATGAGTGTAAACCACTGACTTTGGTTCCTCAGTAGCATTTATTGTAATTTGGAAAGCTGCTGGATGGAAAGTACTTATAAATACCCTAATTTATTCTGGACTGCTGTGAGAAAAGTCAAACTGGCAGACAGAGTGACCCAAATAATTTTATATAATAATTCTATATAATGTACTTTTGACTGCTCAGTGTTCCCAAAGATGAAGCCATTTTCCAGAGGGGTTTAATTTTTTGTTCCATAACATACAAAATCATAACATAAAGTAAAAATACAGCAAGCAGGAACACCAGAGAGTTGGCAGACCATCCATCCTTAGGTGTTTTTAGGACTTGGCTAGCCTGCCATGACTGACCAGATCTAGTGGTGGTGAGTGGTAGGGAGTGGTAGGTTGGACTAAAGATCTCCAAAAGTCCCTTTTGAGCAATGTTTCTTTGATTCTGTCGGTCCCCCTATGGAGCTAGAGGTAGGTGTCAGTGCTGATACCACAAATGAATAGGTGTCAACAAAGTCCTTACAATAGGGAGGTTTGCCGTCGATATCAAACTCCCTACAAGCAGTAGGTGGTTCCGAGAGGTCATTTAGAAGTCAGGAAGCTCAGATAATAGTGGAAATTTGAATTTGGATTTGAAGTAGAGGGTCTTTTCTGTGTCATCAGACTGGGCATTATCTCTATGACGATGACATTCATGGAACCATATTAATAAATGATTAGTGAGTATTTTAGTTATAGATTTTCAGCCTTCTATTATAGTTCATTACCCCCACAGTGTGTTACTATTTTGCAGGTAAGAGTTTTGATGTTAGCTACAGCTGGAACGAAGATAGGGTGCACAGTCCACTTGTGCCTCTGCACTGCTAAAGATTTTAGTTGCACACTTACACACTGCTCTTGCACAAAAAGCCCTGATGCATTCAGTGCAGAGGATCTGCTGTGCTTGCTGAATGAGTCAACTCTATGTTATTCCTTTTATAGTCATTATTCAGAATGGCCATGTGAAAACAAAAGCCTATAAAGGTGCACGTACGTGTATGTATTGACATGAGATCGCCTCTGTGAGGTTCATACTTGCATGTGTGATCCTGAGCATTGCTATGTTGGCTTCTCTGCTGCACAAGGTTCCAGTAATGGACTCTGCCCTACTATATATTTCTTCCATTGAGTTTTTTGCAACTCAGTAAATAACTTGGCTCTCTGTTCTCCTGTTGCATGCAATAACTAATGATAAGACCTGAAGACTAATAAATTGACCCCTAATCAATAATCAGAAGCTGGTTGTGTCTGGCAAAGGTTATACTGACTGTTTCCCCAATGTCTAGTATTGCACTTCTGCCTCAAATTTATGGAAGAGATGTGCGTCTGCAGAAGAACAGGTATTCTGTGTGTATGCTCTGATCTT